GAAACGTCGTGTATTAATTGAAAATATACTGTGCCAGTTATCGTCGATATAATCCTTTATTGTTGTGTATCCATATTTATCAATCCGATGTCCATAATGTCTTATGGATGTAGTTACGCCGGACATTCGGACATAATAAGTATGCCGTATAAAGAAACAACGTATATGGACATTCCACAGATATGTGTGCTAGACCAATCGTATGTCCTTCGGATATCCAGTGGACGTCCATGTGCTATGTGGATATGCCTGTGTATCTGGTTATGTATAACTTAACTCATATACTTTTTATTCACTCTAAATATTAGGAAACATTGTATATGTTTCTTACCTGAAATGCATTATTTGTACAAAAGATCATAAGATGTACATAGGTGTTTCGACGGAAAATACAACCACTTGGGTTTGCGGGCGAACAAGTCTCCTCGTCGTCCCAGGATCCGCGCACTCTCGTGTTTCTAACAATATACCCTCTGTCTAGTCGTGGATTGAAATGCAGAGCAATGTTTCCAGCCGTCTTGCATATTAAATTCACCGAAAATCTGCCACGCGATTATATCGGCATAAGTTTGCAACTTGCATTTATTACCCGGAACAGTATAGCATACATTTGTAAAAAAACTGTATTCTAAGTAGTAACACGTGTCATTTAATTTTATTCACTTAGAACAGAGAATAGCAATAGAAAATTTCCGGTGGTTCGAAAATTTACTTTGTCACTAAATCAGTTTTTTAATTTTTTAACTGTAATATTATTCCGACTTTAATAAAACTCGGGAAAAAGTATCTACGTTTTAAAAGGATTATTTTACAATTTTGTGTCTATTATTTCTCTCAAGGTAAACACTAAAAAAGGGCTCATCAGCAACATACCCCTAGAGCCATTTAGACCCGGTCTCCCCTACATAAAACCCTGTACAATGTTTATGAATTTCAGAAAGATAGATAACAAAGTTACGATTTACAAATTAACCTAGTGCGGGCATAATATAACCCACTATGAGCTTAATATGAATACAAATACCTTGATGCATTTGCAGAAATGTATCCGGTGAAAATAATGGCGGATGTTACTTTTAGTGGTTGCAACGGAATCGGTTTATGGATATTCTAAAACAGCACATCTGTACACGTAAGCTATTTAATTTGTATATTACACAAATGTTTCCGCGAAACAGATGGTTTTAAGTACAAAATACAATTCAAGCATTCCCTTGAACGGCCGCTCTCGCTGCACATGTGCCAAAAACCCGGCCCGTCTCCCATCATTGGGTACTGCCAGTATCGTTGGTACTCACCACTGGCACGGTTTTCTCGTCGAAATAAGAGAAGTCCTTGAACGCCTCCTGTCTCGCTAGAGTAGCAGTGTCAGATGACATGCTGCTTGGTATGCAACTCCCACGACTCGATAACAAGTGACCGTAGCAGATACGAACTGCGATTCTCTCTCGAGCGTTTCAGACGTACCGCATCGCTCCAAGTGCGGAGCAGTGATACTGTTTGGAAATGTCTGCTACATCGCAACAGCTGTATTGGGGATAGAGTGGGAATGGCTCCCGTATCTCATACATGTCACGTGCTGCATACATGCGCATACATGTAGCACGTAGCTTGTGTGCGGTACAAGAGCCAACTCCGCTCTGTCCCCAACACCGCTATCGCATGTGGTAGACGTTCCCAAACGTCATTACTGATGCAGAGCACGACTGACTGTTGACGCCGTTGACGGCGACTTCTCTCCGTCTTTACGCATGGCGCAACACTTGGTCAGGAGGTTGGTCTGCTCCGTCTATTCTCTTCTGTTTCCACCACTACTCAGTCGAGCCACGGAGCAAATGCGGTTGCGCAAGCTAACATAGGAACGTATATGATCCCAGAAAACCAGACATATCTATTGAGAATAGATTTGGAAAGTGTATGCAATTTATCAAACCAAACTATAGCTACAGTGCGAATTTCAAGTCGATTGGATGAAAATCGCAAAAGTTATTCATCTTACCAATTTGAAAAACAATTTCGGTTTCGAGAAAAACGCGTTCAAAGTCTCAAAATGGATTTACTACGTTAACAATTCAAAATAGGAGCTTGCTAATTTTTTTACCTTTACTCCGCTATCCCATGATCATATAAAGTATCCCTTCCAAGTTAAGATTTTGGTCCTCAGCTTCTTTCCTTGAGGATTTTATATCCTACCTAGCGTCTTTTCTTGTTTCCGACGATGAGCGGTTCGCGGCTTTCACGTGGCAGTTGTCATTTTCGGAGCAATAATTATACAGTTTATTGCCGATCGGCAACTCCAACACTTTCATAATCTTCACTAACAATGTGTTGCAGAAAAACTAGTTTTTCTTATTTCTAAAAAAAAAACAGTCAAGAATATTCACCACAGATTTTATTCTCAACAAACTACAATGTTCTTCGTAATATATGTATGTATATTATTTAAACATTATATAAGTGCTTATGAGCTATGCCACGATGTAATTAGTGTGCAGATAATTTCCTGGCAAAATGGAGAATATACATATCTTGTTCTCTTATAACAATTGAAGATAAAACAATCATATGATTTATGAAATTTCTATGTTTTCATCAAGTATTTTTATTCTAGATTAAAAAAAGAATCTATTAAACATTTTTAAAAATCTATTAAACGTTTGAAACAGCAATTTTTATCAATTGTTTTTGGATAAATTACATACGGTTGGAAATATATCAAACACAATAACAAGACTAGACGTTTTGATATCCGAAATAGATACTCATGCAAACCCACGCAAAATGTTACAGAAGAAAAATTTTTTTATATCCTTTCATTGACCTTTTCACTTATTTTCGTCCATTACGTGAATGAAGAATCGCTATATAATAGTTCAATTTGTCAACATAATTCAATATATCGTTTAATTAAAATTATAACTAGAATCCCCATGAGTAAATCATAACACTGCATGCCATGTCATCTAAGTTTATCCAACTTCCAATTTTAATTCACAAATATTTTACTCGTCAGCTTATAATAATTTGAGCAGATGTTACATTAATTTACAGCATCATATAATAAAATCATTATTTTCAATTCTATACATAGAAAAGAAAGTAACACTTAAAGCAGCATTGTGCTATATTGCTTAATTCTATTGTTATGAAAAGGCTAAATATGAAAGGACTTCGGCAATATCACATTTAGACAATTTAAGCCCTCATATTTGTAAACAAATATTCATAGAACCTTGTAAGAAATAATCGCAACGTATCTTGATATCTTTCCATATAATAATTTCTACTGCATTGTGCAATTGTGATTGTTCTGGATGGTTAACGATAGAAGAACACTGTTAGTCACGAAAAGATATGAATGAGTATCGGAACGCCTTATGAAAGAAAGAGTAGTCATGAGATTTGCTTAAATATCACGAGGATCATGCGGATCTGGGAGTTTCTGCCAGGTTGGCTCAACGTCCCAAATCTCGCGGGCGTACTCCGCAATCGTACGATCTGATGAAAATTTTCCCGACGATGCTATGTTATGGATAGTCATTTCTACCCACTTATTCTCATCCTGAAACAGTTAACAAGTGATTACATGCCATGGTGATCTTACAGAATAAAATTTTAATATAAAAAGAAAACTATTATAGTAATTCCTTATAGATTATTCAGAATTGTGACAATATATCGCAACGTCACTCAAGCTCACTTTGTACATTAATAAATTTAAGCAATCATATAATTCATAACATCTTATATAATACACAACTTTATAATTAAAATAATTATATTGTTACGCTCGCGTTCCGGTCGCCCGGTATCTCCTGGAGTCGCTTAGTTACGGTTGCTGTTTGTTCTTAAACAACTGTATCGTTTGATTCGAAGTTTGACTTTCAGGCCTTACGGACATATCTCTTTTAAATAAAGTTCGTGTTCCTTTCCTCGTGGTTAATTTGTGTGCGAGTGAGTGCGAGTGAGTGCCACGGGAGTGGAACGCGGCGGCGCGAACAAGCCGTAACAATATTATATAAAATTGTTAAATGTGTTCTTCTATAATACTTTACAATTGGTTTTGCAATTTATATAAGCTATATAGATTTTACAGGTTTTAAATGTAGTCAAGTTGAAAATGCCTACTTGAAAAATATTGAAAAAAAATGTAATTTTTGAAATCTCCAATCTTCTATGTCATTAAATTAAAAAATTATATGTAAAGAATTACGCAAGTACTGCATAACAAAGCTATGTGAATTACAGTCTCCTCATATAATAGAAAGAGAAACAAAGTGAAAGGATGTGAAAACAAAGATGGTTGTATGAAATATAAAATACTTCTGTATGTATTATTTAAACAAACCTAATACTTGTTAATTTTTTGCAATTATAATTAAAAGTTTCCTAAAGAAACTATTGCTAGAATAGTTTTTTCCACTTTTTCTCCAAATAATTTGTTATCCTTGTTCTTATATAAAATAATATAAATCTTTTTGTCAGTTTTTAATAAGTGAAAGTTTATACGAAAGTTAATTGGTTAAATACCTGATAGACTTTGCTGACATTATCCTGCATATTTATATAGCTCTCGTAATCAGCCAAAAGTAGGAACCTATCCCATTTAAGCAATACATCAGCGATATCTCGGAATTCATCAGGATTGTTTGGACTGAAGAATCCTCCTTGGATTTGATCGATACATTGTTTGGCTTCCGGCAGTTTGTTATAGTAATCGTATGCATTATAGCCTTTGCTTTGTAGAGCCTCCACTTCATCCACTGTCATGCCGAAAATAAAGATGTTGTCATTGCCCATTTCTTCTGCCATCTCAACATTTGCTCCGTCCAAAGTGCCGATGGTTAATGCGCCATTCAACTATAAGAATAATGCAAAGTTCCACTATCTGTCTAAATCTAATTTTATTTAAAAAAATAACTAACTGCAATCAAACGTTATGTGAAATAAATTAAAAGAATTAGAATTTTATACATACATTTGTGGTTTCATATTTAAAATTATATTTTGTTGCCAAATATGTTACTAACCATAAATTTCATGTTACCAGTGCCAGACGCTTCAGTGCCAGCGGTCGAAATTTGCTCGCTCAGATCCGCAGCTGGTATGATCTTCTCAGCCAAGGTCACACGATAATTTTCAAGAAAGATTAACTTAAGCTTATCGCCAACGATTGGATCATTATTGACAACATTAGCGACACTGCAAATGAGCTTGATGATCTTCTTCGCCAAATGATAGCCTGGCGCTGCTTTACCGCCTATCATCACGGTTCTCGGAACAAAATGAGCGGATGGATCCCTTTTTATTCGATTATACAAAGTGATAACGTGTAAGCAATTCAATAGTTGCCGTTTATACTCGTGTATACGTTTCACCTGTCAACATAACGTAACAATTTAATACTGTATCCTATTCTATACCAAATTTTTCAATTTTTTCCTACAATTTATAAATGCATCGCTGCATATTTTCCATCCCTGTATTAATTGTCATTACGTATTCCCAATAAAAACCAACTCGTAGTTACATAACACGGATATTATAATTTTTCATTCAACAATATAAATTATAACGCATAATTGTTGAGTATAATTATATGAAAGAAATTATAATATTAATGTTATGTGACTGTTGGTGTTTAATAGAATTGTACAAAGCAGCTAACAAAATTTATCCGATATTCTTTTGACTTTATTACAGCTTCTTTGACCAATTTAAAAACGATTTTTCTTTAACAGAAACCTTAAGGTTGATAGCATTTAAAAAACTTTTACATCTTTGTATTTGAGTAATAAAAATCTTATTAGTTCTCTTATAGTTCAATTAAAATTACATAACTAAAAATAATAACTTTGTCTTTTATCTTCTTTCTTAAAACATAATTTGTCAACCATTTTTTATTTTTAATTATTATTGGTTAAAGCAACGTCTTGATATTTTTATTAAAGGATAAATCGATTACAAATTGGTCAAGAGATTTAATTAATGAAGAGAATATCCCTTGAAACATTATATCTTTTACGTTGTTTGTATTCTGACCTGGATATCAAAAATAGATGCTGAATTAACTCGAACACCATACTCCTTCTCTAACAACTGAGCTAATCGCAATTTGTTTTCCTGTTTGACTTTAACAATGTTACGTTGAAAAACCGGATCCTTCGCCCATTTCTTCAATTGCTCTAACTGCTCCAGATGAACTGTCCATTCGCTACCAATTTTCTATAAATTATAAAAAGGACACGAAATTGTATAGATTATATACATAGAAAAATCATGGTTATTGAAATAATGTTCCATATATTTGAACTCACTTCCTCGATTATATCAGACAAATTTGGATTACAGAGCAGCAGCCACCTTCTCGGCGTGATACCATTCGTCTTGTTTTGAAATTTCTCCGGTGTCAGTTCGTAAAAATCCCGGAAGCTAACAAAAGGTCAAATTAAACATTTTTTTTCCCCCAAGCATTGTTAGCTCTGAGACAAAGAAACAAAGAAAACTCTACATACACGCCGTCTTTAAGAATTTCTGAATGGATACGAGCAACTCCGTTTGTGGCATGACTACCGACGATTGACAGATGAGCCATGTTAACCCTCTTCTCACCTTCCTCTTCTACCAGAGACATTCGACGAATGCGATCCATATTGCCGGGCCATTTAGCCGCGACGTTTTCAAGATGCAGATGATTTATCTCGTAAATGATTTGCAAATGTCTCGGAAGAATACTCTCCAGCATATTGGTAGGCCATCTCTCCAACGCTTCGGGAAGAACTGTGTGATTTGTATAGGCGCATGTACGTGTCGTAATGTCCCACGCCTAAAAGTTGAGATATTTGTTTCGAATATTCATGTCTAATAGAAACATTTCTTTTATCAATATCAGGCACTATCAAATGTACGATTAGGAAAAAGCTGCAAATGCAACAAATTCTGTCGTCTATAATAATGAATTTTCAAAACATATAAAATTAGATCTGATGTGCGATGATAATCTGAAATTATCCCAATGCACTCAAATAAATCGGGACGATCTTCGTTATTATATAATTCACACAATTAAGTTCAAATTCTCGGTAAAACACTTAAATATGTTGACCAAAAAATGGACGTAACGCCAACTATTGTTAAACCGTGACACATATACAGAGTGTCATTTTAATCAATACACGCAAATACCTCGCAAAGTAAGCAAGATGAAAAAAAAATTTTATTATAGTGTTTTGAAAAGGTCTTGACGCCAGCTACAAGAATATATGAAAAATTAGTAGTTTCATTTAAGAAAATCAAGTTGCTAAATTGGCCACTACTTTGACTTCAAAGTCAGGGTCAAGATCACCATCAAGTGTTTCCTTTTGAACCTTACAACTTTTGTATAAAACATTTTTTCCATCTTGCTTATTTTACGAGATATTGGCGTGTATTGATTGAAATGGCTCACCCTGTAGAATACAATTAAATTGTTTAGAATATTTTTTAAAATGTTCTTCACATATTTAGGCAACTCCTATGTGATAAACATACCTCCTCCCAAGAAAGTTTTTCAACATCAATGAGTATTCTCATCAGCTCGGGGATAGCTAGCGAGGGATGCGTGTCGTTGAGTTGAATAGCTACTTTGTCAGGAAAAGCTTTAAAATCAGTTCTGTGATGCTCCCTCGAGCCGAATTTGCTAGACTTGTATCTTCGAATGATATCCTGCAGAGTAGCAGCTACCATAAAATATTCCTGCTTCAACCTGAGCTCTTTGCCCTCGAAGAAGTTATCGTTAGGATACAGAACTCTGGAGATATTTTCCGCCAAATTACGATCAATTACAGCCTGTATGTAGTCACCGTCGTTAACTGAAAGAGTCAGCGATATAAGAAAGAAACTGTTATCATAATGCAAAAACTTATCGATGTGACACTTACAGAACTTCAAATTGAATTCTATGGGCGACTTTGCGGACCATAGTCTTAATGTATTGACAACATTGTTTTTGTAGCCGGGGATTGGACTATCATAGGGCATGGCAAAAACAACCTGTAACAAACAATGAATAAGATTACATAATTATTTACAGGTTATTTATACGGGGTATCCCAGAATCATTATTATTTTAATCGTAGCTTTTTTACACAAAAAGAGATAATATTCTTTCCATTTAAATGTCGAGGAAGCTCATTAGTTTCTTTCTAACTTTAGTTGCGCTTTTGTATACAAGCTTTGAATTAACATTCCGTTGAAAAGACCTGAACTTGACTACACATAATTCTGTCGTATATTTTCTCCAACAAGATTTTCAACTTCAAATTTTCTATTTAACTGTTCGAAAATTACACATGCCTCTGTATTTTGTTAGAAAAAGAGAGATTAATTCAAACTAGTTGTGATACAAAGTAATATTCAGCAATACATATTCTGAATAGCTTAAAGTATTCAAGTAGCTTAAATACATTAAAATGATGCGTATTACCTGCGTGTTCACCCATTTCTTGCCCTCCGGGGTGTCAATCACGTGGCCATAAAAGTTGACCGGCAGCATAAATTCTGGTCGAGCTTTCTCCCAAGGATTTCCATATCTCAGCCAATCGTCAGGCTCCTCTAGTTGTTCGCCGTTTTTTATCTTTTGTGCGAATATACCGTATTCGTAACGTATACCGTATCCATAAGCAGCTAGGCCTAATGTGGCCATGCTATCCAAAAAGCAGGCTGCTAAACGACCTAGTCCTCCGTTACCAAGTCCGGCGTCTTCCTCGAGTTCTTCCAATTCTTCTATATCCAAACCCATCTATGAAAAGTAATCACAATTATATAAGATGATCAGAACAGCGACTGTTTCCTAAGCAAATATAGAAAAAAATAGCAAGAAGCTATTCTACGTAAGAAGATAACTTCGTAAAACGCAGATAATAATTTCTCTGGGTTTCAATAAAATGCAAAAAACTAGAACTATATCGCAATTACCCCAAAAAGTTTGCAAACTTCGACGTGTACTATAATTTAATATTTTTATATCAAAAGAGAATATTTTCACGTGTTGTTTGAATTTTAGAAAGATGTTAAAAACAGTTAAGTATATAGTAAAAGTTTTTCGTTATATGTATATGCGACATTATTTTCTACAACTTAATTTAATTAAGTACACTTGCCTGATACATAGCTTCGTCGCATGCTCCTTGTATCCCTAAATTGATCATTGTATTTTGCAACGATCTTCCCATATAGTACTCCAAGGATAAATAATATACTCTCTGAAAAAACAAAAAATTTAAATAATAGTATTGAAATGTCTTGCTGGATTTAGATAATGTTAATGTGTTGCCAATGCAACATCATAAATTCAAACAGATGATTAATTTAAAATAGTGACTAAAATTATTTAGATAAATTTCCATAATGCCTAAACGAAGCACGGATAGAAGAACAATGCACATAATTTTCTACATTTGATGGAATTTTAAATGTGTGATTTACTATGGAATCTGATGAGACAACTTCATTGGCAGTGACAATGAAGTTGTTATATCCCCTGGTTGAGGTTCATTGCCAATTACTTCAAACGAAGTGATTGGCAAGAGAGAAGTGCAGAAAATACGATCGTGTACAGAAGAACGTAATCGCCCAGTCGAATTGCTATATCTATACGCTATGTCATAATATTATTCGGCTTCATGTAGCGAGATTAGTCAAGGACTATTGCAACTTGGCCGACATGTTTTGCCGAATTTGTATGTAAAATTTAAATACAAGAAGATCTTATTTAAATACAGGAAGATCCAGGTTCAAACCCTGGCTGAGGTGTTACTTTTCGCAAAGTTTTTTCAGCGATGAAGAAAGGAAGGAATTTAATAGATGCTTGTTGGTATGAAAAATAATTAGATTACTTGTGAAATATTATAATAAATTAATTTTATTATTTTAACTTATTATTGACAAATAATATTTACGAACTGTGACAATCATCATCGCCGCGAAACTCGCCGCGGACTCGATCGCCGGCTTCGACAACCAATCGGAAACCACATAAAACGGCAACGATACTTACGATTTATTCGACTCCGAACACGCACTTCACGGGTAAACATAGCGGATGAAAAAAGAACAAAAAAGCGGATAACAAAATAGCGGATGTAAAGTACGTGAATTTTGCATCCGCCATTTCGTGCGCGCTATTTGTTATATTTGTTATATTCCATAAGAATTTTCAAGTAAAATTTAAATTCCATGGGTCCTAATAATATCTAAATAATGTTTCCTAGCATAGCTTGATTACAGTTGAACGTTTCAACCGTTCTTCGGGTCTTCTTCAGTGAGCTTGTGAAAAGAGCGAGTCGTCGATGACTAGGAAAATTCCTTTAACCCTCTGCACTCCGAATTATATTTCATCTATTGGTTTGAACTTGAAAAACTGTCGAGTGAGACTCGACGAAGGAGCTCCTGAAATAAAAACTGATGTCGAGTCATACTCGACATAGGAGTGCAAAGGATCAATGCATCAGGAACAAACGCTTCAACCTTTTTTCGGGTCTTCCTTAAGGCCTGTATCCACGATGCTAGAACTTGGA